GACATTCATGTTAAAAAAGATGAAAAAAATTGAATATTTTTTTTTAAATTTGAAGAAGATAGAGGAAAAGATTTTGTGGGTGTTTAATTTTTTTAAAAATAATTGAAGAAGAAAGATTTTGTTTGTGAGGTTTATTTTTAAAAATAAAAAATTGAAGAGGAAAATATTTTGTGGTGTTTATAGGAAGAGTTTTTTTTTTTAATTTGATGAAGATGGGCAAAACGCCCGTTAAAGGTTTAACACAATCAAAATCACGCCCGGATAAAGCCCTTGGGGGGCGGTGTTTAATGCCCCTGGGGCGTTAAAAGTGCAGTCACGCCACTGGGCGTTACATGCATTACCAGTGCCCTTACTCTATGCTCTCTCAAGTAATTTTTAAATTACTGTATAATTTACGAGTATATTTTTTTCTTTTTACGGAGTATGTTTTAATTTAGAAATAAAACAATCTTTAAAAAAGACGTATTGCGCACATTGTTTAAAGTGTGTTGAAGAATTATGAATTTCCTTAAACAATAATGTGGGAGTACATGTGTTTATATACACAAACTATTCCTAATCCTAATCATGGTAGGATTCTACAATAGGAAACAATCTCTATACAATAAATACAGAATATATAATTAACATAAATATAGAATATATTTAACATAGCCGAACCGGGGTTGGGTTGCGGTGAGTTGTTCCAAGGTACGTAGCCGTCATGCGGGTGTCGTTGCGAGCCAGAGTTTCTTCCTCGTCCACGTCCACGACCGCCTCCACCACGACCGGAGTTGCGCCCCTGCTGTCCGCGGCCACCACTGCCACCGTTGTACCCGCTGCCAGGCGCTCCACTGCCACGCCCGAAGCCGCCGCTGCTGGAGCCGTAAGGGGGGCCGCCGGGTGTACCGGCCAGGAGGGCTGTCCCGGCGTCATCTGCAATGCTTTGCCGTTGCCGATCAAGGAGCAGGAGGGCAGATCGGGTCTGAAGAAAGTTGGGCAGCGGTTGTTGGAATTGTAGGAACGACGTCTGAGCCTGTAGATCTGCGGGCAGCCCCCGAAGCATTTGGAGCACGAGTTGAGACTCAGAGACCGGGGCGTCAACGTCATCCAACCAATCAGCAATGTTCCGAAGAGTTTGACAATACGTGGCCATAGTCATCGTACCCTTGACAGTGGTTCGAAACTGATGCTCGAGTTGCATTGCCCGAGCATGCTTGTTGTCATGAAAAAGTGCATGAATAACCTGCCATAATTCAGCAGCGGTGGAGGTGGTGGAGATGACTAGATCTGAGACTTCGTCAGAGATAGTAGAGAGAATCCATC